CATCCTCCCCTCTAGAATGTGGGCTTCATAAGGTCATAGACCTTTGTGGTTGTTCACTGACACACCTCAAGAGTCTAGAATACCCTGATACACTGCAGGCCTTCCGTTGTCAATTAAACAAATAGAAAGAGTTCCTTTTCTATCAAGCCAGAAAATTCTCAGAATTTTCCATTGTCACCTGTAATCCCTGGTAAAGACAAGGCTAGGGAGGGCCTCCCTGCTGAGCGCACACTCCAGGAGGGAGGTTCCGGGACATGTCATTACCTGACACTCTTTGGCTTGTCATCCTAGATGACTTGCATTTAGCTTGAGAAATAATTGACCCTGCTCCACCTTGAGCTGTCCACCTCTCACCACAGGGGCTACTGCAGTCCCCCCAGGGCTGAGCCTGAATTCTGAGAGTCAGTCTATTTTGGAGTGACCAAATAGTGTTTGGAAGGTAAAAGCAGATGAACGTTTGCTGTTTCTGGGCTTTTTCTCATGTGGGAGGGAGGAGATATAGATATTACATGATATGTGTATGGGAAAGTGCTGGGAATGAAGTCTACCAAAGTATACTATGTCTATGTGAGAGTATACCACGATACATCACATATCAATTGTGCATAATGCAAATCCAGTGTGTTTCCCAAAGCTGGAAGAGCTATATATCAGATTGTATAAAATATGAACAAATATACACATATCTGATTTTATAGGTATAATGTATATGATATATATGATTTTACATATGATTATAATGCACTAATTAGAATAACAATGACAGAGAGAATGTCAAATAATAATGAGTAGAGCAAGCCAATCAGGACAAGGAAGTTACTGAGAGTGAAACTGATCAAATTTTGCAGTGTGCATGTAGGAATATGGCATAATGAATCCCACACCTACGTATAGTCATAATGCACCAGTAAAAAACAATGAAATAAATTACAGGCTATGATTTTGCTGTATTTTACAGGAGATTATTTTGAAATCCTCATGGAATAAAAAGTTAGATGACATTAAAATGAAAAAGAATGAGAACAAGACAGTCTCCGTTTGAGAAAGAAATCCCCCTTATAGATTCCAAAGAAGAGTGAACTAAATGTGGATATTGTCGGGGAGAAGCTCTTCCCTCATTGGCAGAGGCTGCTTCGTTAAAATCAACTTCACAGTAGAAAAGGAAAAGAAAGAATTCTTGTGATCACAATTTCACAAATCTGGACTTCCTTCCTTAATTTATTTTTCCCTTCGTGCTCTAAGTTTTTTTTGCTACATAAGAAAATATGCATTTTATTTGGGTATAGGAAGGGAGTGTCTTCATAAGAAAACACAAATTCTGGTAAGAAAATGGGAAGGGAGGGAAAGCAACCCCCTAGTCTCAATGATGGTTTTAGGTGTGAGAAAACCATCCTCCTGCGTTGGACAAGCATTGCCCTGGCTTATCAGATGAGCGTTTCCGTCTCTCCCTGAAGGAGAGAGCTTATTAACACAGCCACCTCTTTCTCCCATGCCGCAGTCCGGCTGCGGCAAAATAAGGCACTCCCAGACGTTGCTGAGTACCAGGAGAGATGCTCTGCTCTCAGTAGCCTTGCCTGCCACCTCCTGGAACCTTGCTGTGTATCCCGTGGCAGGTCCTTCCCACTGGCTGGACACACACTCTCCCAGGGCTCAGCACCCTTCACGGTTCCCACCACCACTGTGTTGCTGTCTCCCCCACATCACCCTCCACAGTGACTCGTCGTCTGCCCAGGTGTTTTCCTCTGAAGACGCTTCTGTCTGATCAACAGCAGCAGCAGTGTGTTTTCCACATCTAGAGGAGCCTTAGAAGCTGGTAGGGCCAAAGCCCCACAGATGGAGGCAAACGGACCTTCCATTTCGAGGCGCTCCATCAAATGCTCTTGAAAGCCTGCCAGAGTGAGAGGATGTCCTATCTTCTCCAGGCTTCAGACCCTGATTTCCCTGAGATGAAATTTCACAAAGAAGGCTTCTTTCTCGAACTTACTGCCATGCAACATTCCAAGAGTGAGCTGAGAGAAGACCAAACCATCAGCCATGCCAACCTTTTTTAGCATCTCAGAAGAAGAAATTTTGATCACTTCCAAATTTACAGTGATTCATTTGACTTTCTATGCTCTGGGCATTGATTTTTGCCCTCAAGATAATATTGTTGATATGTAATTTTCTTGTTTCATAATTGTCTTAACCTGGCTTCTTTAATAACTTGTGCCTGACATTTAACTTCCTGAGCAGGGAGTTCATATGGGCAGTGAACCGCAGGGAAGAGAAGTCATTACAAAGGGAAAATGAGCAGGAAGGAATGACCGTTCAAGGAGACATTCTTTTGCTCATCACCAAGAACAATGGATGGCTGAGTCCATGGGACTTTTTAAGGATCATTAGGAAATGGTCTTGAAACTGTTTGCCCTGGAATGAAGGTAGGTATTTATCCATAGATGTCTCTCACTCCCCCCCCCACCCGCCATTACCATCATTTGTCAAGTCTGGGCCCACGTGCAGTGACTCTCTCACACTTCTGGGTTGGACACACAAGAGCATGCTGTGTTTCACGGTGCCCTGCACTTGCAGTATCATAGAAGCCCTGGATCAGGAAGGGAGAGGCACTCAGCATGGTCCTGCAGGTCCCTGTACAAAGCCCATCCAAGCCCACATGGGAAGGACCACATCATAATGTGTGGATAAAAGACAGGACACAGAGAATCTGAGGATGTCCAAGAAGTATCAAGGACAGTTATCCAGCAAGTCCAAGAAACATTTAGGTGAGAGGGGCCATGTAACACCCAGGGCTGAAGGGTGCTTTGGATTCTCCAAAGATGGGCCTGATTTCAGGGCGGGTATTGCAGGTGGACCTAGATCAATGGCCTCAGTTTTATCCTATCTCAAGCAAAATCAGCGTTGGTTTGAGGGCTCAGGGCATCCCAGCTCCTGTTGCTGCATTGCACCTGGAGAAGGGATCCCCACGAGAGGCAGGGTCTTCAGGGCCTGCTGTCACATGAGATAGAACCAGTGGCTGGATTAGAAAGACCAGGGAGCTTTGGAGCTGAGAGTCGGTCTGTCCTGCCCTCTTTTCACTGCCGGCTCTCCCCGTCCCTGGTGGAAGCCCCTCTGCTCTTCTACTGTCTTTTGAGTCTCTTTGGGGAGAGAAACCTCAACAGAGCCAAAATAATCATTTTAACTTTTCCTTTCCCTCCCAGGCTTGAGTAATCTAAGTGATGAATAAACAGTCACCACTCTTTCCACTTGGGGCAGCCCAAGCCACCGTGCTGATGGCCTCCAAGAAACATATGATTATTTCCACATTAAGCCACTCAACTAGCCTCGCCCTTGTTAAGAATTAGCATCTTCTAGAGGACAGGACTGTTTCCTCCTCCAACATCCCCAGAGCCCTTTTCTTCACATTCTTTCAGCTGATGCCACCCACCCTCCCTATAAACCCCAGACCTGAGTACAAAGGTTACTGTCAAGGTTAAAGTTCAGGTGACTGACAGCAAATGCCCAGGAAAAAAAAAAAAAAAAACAGGTCACATTGGTAGTTTCATCACAAAAGCTGAGCCAACAGGTGGATGCAGCAACTGGGTGAATCATGCCTGACAGGTAAGAGAGGAAGACAGGGCAGCCCCAAAGATCCCATTTCCTTGAGGCAGGGCACGTTCCCTGCATAAAAAGCCAGTTGGTGGAGGGCACCGCCTCAGATCCCGCTGACCATACTGCCTGTTCTTCTCTGCACACCCCAGGTGAGTCTCTTGGAATTTTTGATCATTCTCTCTAGGCATTTGATTTGATTGAACTGCGTTGACATTTCTGATGTCTTCTCTCTGCCCTCTACCGAAAGCTGATCATGGTCATGCAGTCTGTCCAGCTGAATTACAGACTCCAGCCAGAGCTTTGTTTTAAAAGTGATCATGATTTGGACTTGAAGGGACTTTAGTGTCATTGGTTCTGCCCCATCTGATCTCCATGTGTTAGTAAGAAGGGTATTAACAGGTCCAAGGACCGAGTAGAGTAGCACATTAAAAACTGGAACCGGGTCTACAGCACCTCGGTTGGCATAATTCTTTCTTTAGTCATCATTTTAATACCTCGGATCTTTATTCTCTCAATAAATATTTTCATTATCAGAATTGCATTTTACTCATTTAAAAATGTTGTTATAACAGTTGATTTTTAAAATTCAGCTTTAACGGTGTATAAATTACATACAATATGAATTCACCAATTTTAAATGTGTAATTCAAGCTCTTTCCCAAAGTGATTGCATCATTTTACCTTCTCACCAGCAATGTATGAAAATTTAATTCCTCCACAGTCTTGTTATCATATGGTGTTAGTAACCAAAATTAAAATATCAACAAATATTTTTAAAAACTTATTATATTTGGCATTTAGGCTGCTAAAAAATAATTGAGGCAACAGGGAATTCACTTCATAAACTACATTTTATTCAGGAGAATAAGAACTAAAGCCCAAGCAGGAAGTTATCAGTGTCTGTTGATGAGGGCAAAGTGCTATAACAGTTGGAGGAAATAGAAATTTCTGGAGGGCTTGCTCTAGAAAATTCCCCAGAAGTCCATCGGAGGTGATGTGCAGTGGTGGTGTAGTATTTGAAAGCACTTGAGGCAGAAGTGCCTGGGAGCCAAGAGACAAGTGTGATCATGTGGCGTTCAGGAGAGGTCAGAGTGGCCCTAAAGGTGGCGAGCCATTCTAATTATGAGTAGGTGGGGTTTGCTTTGTCTCTCTCTGATAACGTCACGTTTCTGAGTCTCACTCTGCCGGCGGGAGCCTCTGCTGAGCTGGGCTGTGCGGCTAATGAGCTTTAAGGTGTGCAGCAGGAAAGCCCAGCTCAGTGCTTTTGAGTCCCTCCTCCAAAGACTCAGAAACCACCCAAGTATTCTTTGTTGGGCAAAGAGAGAAAGAAGAACCTGTGCTTCTTAAGGGATGGTTTCTGAGCTATTTCCTGCTCTCATCTTCTGTTCTGTCTCCAGGCCCAGCCGTCACTGAAGCATGAGTTCCCAGCAGCAGAAGCAGCCCTGCGCCCCACCCCCTCAGCTGCAGCAGCACCAGGTGAAGCAGCCTTGCCAGCCTCCACCCCAGGAACCATGTGTCCCCCAAACCAAGGAGCCCTGCCACCCCAAGGCGCCTGAGCCCTGCCACCCCAAGGCGCCTGAGCCCTGCCACCCCAAGGCGCCTGAGCCCTGCCACCCCAAGGCGCCTGAGCCATGTCACCCCAAGGTGCCAGAGCCCTGCCCCTCAACGGTCACTCCAGTGCCAGCTCAACTGAAGACAAAGCAGAAGTAACATGGTCACAGGCACGCCTCTGAGGAGCCCACCACCGGATGCTGAACCCCTTTCCCATCCTGGCTTTCAAGTTCCGCCCAGCGTATACGACGTGCTGTATCACCTAAGTCACAGTCCCTCTCTGATTCGCAACCCAAAGCATGGGCTAGGAAGCTTTCCTTCCTAAACTTTGGGGCATCTAAGCCTCTGAATTAGGCAGGGGGTGGGGGAGCTTGGCACCTGAGCTGGGTTTAGCGGCTCAGAATTTGTCTGAAGAGGGACTTAAGGGGAAAACAGGTGAACCAGTTCTGTCATTGTCCCCATTAAAGTCCCTTCATCCCTCTCCTGACTGTGTGCGTCATTGTCTGACTGCTCTTCTTTCCTTTTCCTCATGAAGTGGGAGCTGTGTATGGAAGCAGGAGGGGAGAGCGGGGCTTTGTTCAGAAGGCATCAATCCTGACGCTGGGCGTGTGGGAGGTCCTCACCTCTGAGCCTGAGGGAGGAACATTGTCCCGTGCCACACAAAGCCTGCTGCTTTGGGCTCTCCCCCTGCTGCTCAGTGAGTCACACTGGAGTTCAGTTAGTACTTGTCCCAGCTGAGCCAGGGGTGCCTGTGCGCCAGGTGACAGGCACTCTCACCCCGAGTGCCCTACCTCCAAATCTGACTTCTTCAAACAACTCCTATTTATTTCAAGGAACTTGGTGGCTGCGTATGAGTCTGCTCCTCCTCGTTTATTTCTTCTGGGGAACCCAAAATTCCACTCTTGTTATCTCAGTCCATCCTCTCTGTTCTCTGAGTGCCCCTTCTGTGCCAGAAAGGGGATAAGGAGAACCCATGGTACCTTCCAGGGACACTACCGTCTCCTAGGGACATACTTCACTCCCCGCCGCCACCCCTCATTCAAACACCCACACAACCAGACCTGGCCTCCTCACAGAGCAACACGCAAAAGCTGGTCCACTGGAATCCCAAGGCAGAGACCTTTTGTACACATATTGTAGTGAAAACCACAGGAAATGGAGATTGTTAAGCCCACCCACATCTTCCTAGAGTATAAGGAGACATGAAATGAAACAAAACAGACACTAACAGGGCATCAATATGTGTGTATATACTGGCATAAGATTGACACTTTTTTAATTTTTATTTTTAATTGATGCATAATAATTGTACATATTTATGGTATACAGTATGAGATGATTCAATGCATATGTGCAATATATAATGATCAAGTCAGGGTGATTAGAATTTCAACTTATGTTTTTTTTCATATTTGGGGACTTTGAACTCTCTCTTGCAGTTTATCCTAAAATATATAATTTCTAATGTAAACTATAGTCATCCTACTCTGTTATAGAACATTGGAGCTTATGTTACTGGGGACAAAGCACATTGCCCCGTGGTGCTATAAAAAGAAACATATTTTCCCTAGATTGGAAAATTAACTAATGAAAATATTATCAGCATTTGGTAAAACTCAAGCCATGGAGATTCTTTTTCCCTGATTACATTCTTTAAAATTATACTATTTGAAAAACATTTACTTAGAAGTCTTTTTACCCTATGTCTTCTTGCTTAAGTGATAAATGAGATTTACCATCACATCCAAGTGAGCATCTTCTAGTACCACAACCAATTAACCAAAAAAGCAAATAGTAGAAGAAGGTCTGTTCTACAAAATGAAATTGACCAAGTCACACTACACACATGTATGAATATATCACAGCAAACTCCACCATTTTCTATATCTGTAAAGCATATCTATAAAGTACACCTATAAAGCACCAATTTAAAAAGCAGTGAATTGAAGGAAGACCAGTAGAGTAAAGGAAGAGGAACAGAGAGAGAGAGAGAAGGGGGAACAGAGAGGAAATACTGGGGGCTGAAATGAGCAAATTATACTCTTTGTGTGTCTGATTATGTCAGAACGAACCCCACTATTATGTATAACCATACATACTAATAAAAACATTTAACAATGTCTTCTGATTAAGCTATTTGTATTAGCCTAGGGTAGCTGCAGTAACAAACGGTCCCTGTTGCTGTTGCTCAGTTCAGTAGAAGTTGTTTATTCCTGGTGTCCAGGGTGGATTGGCAAGGTCTTTGCTCCAAACAGTCATGAAGGGACCCAGGTTCCTTTCCTCATATGCTCTTGCAACTTCTGAATGCCTTATTTTCCTCTGAATTCAGGCACAAGAATAGGGAAATATACTAAATATGGAAAATGCATCCCTGCATTCATCCACTTGGAATCAAAAATGATATATGTCCTTTCTGTTCATAATGGCTTGGGTAGAACCTGGTCACACTGGCCCTATCTACCTTATCAAGTCCAGAAATACAGGTTACTGGTGTTCCCAAAGAGAAGAGGAAAACGTAAATGTCAGTGAGCCCGATAAGCTTCTGCCATAGTTCACACTTCTGGTCCTCAAATGTCTATTGACTCCTCTTGTCTCATAAGCAGAACACAATTCCCCAAGGGGGTGGCGGGGTGGGAACCAGATTCCAGCTAGACCAAAACATAAGGTCTCAGGATGACGTGGAATTCCCTTCATCATGCCTTCCTAGAACAACTGAAGGCTCAGCAAACTACAAAACAAACAGGTGAAACAATTCTTCCTGTTGCCCAGTGCCGCAGTCTGGCTGGGCACAAAAACAAACCGGGAGGTCACGAGCCACTTGTAGGTTCAAACAGGAACGACTTTATTTATTTATTTATTTTAGGTTCAAACAGGAACTACTTTTATTGCCAGAACCCCATGGGATCACCACCGGAACTCAACCAAAACTCCACAAGAACCAACGGGAACTCCGCAAGAACTCAAAAGTAGCGGGCACCCGAGGTAGCAGGAGCCGCCTTATTGCCGGACAGCAGAGGTTTATATACACAACTGAATACACCGCTTGTTTCAATTTAGCATCATCCAGTTACAGCAATCAGTCATTATCTTAATAATTATACGCAGCTTAACTTAATTATCATCATCTTAATGGCTCCCTGGCGTTACTTCTCAACCACTCCTTCTGGCAAAATGCCAGGCACCATCTTGACTTGGTTGTGGCTCTCAACAACCCAGCATCCAACAGTGGTGTGGGCATGGACAATCTGACCAGAAACTACCACGTGCAAAGGAAAGTAAGAGGAGACAAATGGCAGTCACCGGACTTCTGTGTTCTGAAATCCACCTGGGCAGGCACAGGGAGGCCACCTTGTCCCCCAACACCAGCATTCCTGTGGTGGTTCCTTGTTAAGGTCTTGTTCTGCCTTTACCTGTCATCCCGGGACTATCGACTGGGCGCTCCTTGGTCAGTTCACCTGTGTGCTCACTTTACCTGTGGTCTTAAGGCTCTTGAGAACATGTTTCTGTTTGTGTGTGTGTTGGAGGATTGTTCTGTTTTGTTTGTTCTTTTGAGAATCCAGCCTCTGATTATTATGGGGATATCATTCCTCCAAAACTTAATAAACTTCTTCTAAACCAATAAACTGAGATGGTTTCTTCCAGTCAGTTCTATATGCCAGTAATTATATACCCAAATTTCTTTCCCAGACAAAATTCTTATGTTGTTTGGCTTACTTATGTTATTTCTTGTTTATTTGCTTTCTTTTCGTCACATCTTTCTTTCTCCACCACAGCTTCTTTGACACTATTTGGAAAAAATAAATTCATATAGGAAGGCATTAAACCTGAGTTTCCATGGCTTTTTGTTTCTCAAAATCATTCTGATTTTATCTCTTTCTATCCGGGGTCTAGGAGCAGTCATCTTTCTTAACACTGCAGATTTCTGGTTTTTCTCATTTCCTTTCATTTCTGCTTCCAAAGAGTCGATTTTTCTTTCTTTTTTACAAAATAGCTTTGCTGTGGATGGGGGTACATGCCTGTAATCCCAGCAGCTCTGGAGGCTGAGGCAAGAAGATTGCAAGTTCAAAGCCAGCCTCAGCCACTTAGCAGGGTCCTAAGCAACTTGGCAAGATCCTGTCTCTAAATAAAAATAAAAAGCAGGACTGGGGATGTGGCCCAGTGGTTAAGGACCCCTGGGTTTAATCCCCAGTACTAAAAATAAAAAGCCATAATTCACACAATTATAAAAGTCATCCTTTTAAACTGAACATTCAGTAGTTTCTAGTTGATTCACAATATTGGACAATCATCACTAATATCTAATTCCAGAATACATTCATCCAAAAAGAAACTCTATATCCATGAAACTATATATCTTCTCTATCCTCTGCCCCTATACATTTGATTTTTATAGACATTTCAACTAACTGGTATCATACAATACGTGGCTTTTTGTGTCTGGCTTCTTTAACTTAGAATAATATTATAAAGATTGATCCATGTTGTAGCCATATCAGGATTTCATCTCTCTATTGATAAATAATATTCCAGTGCACACCTATGCCACATTTTATCTACTAACCAGCTGATATGCATTTGGGTTGTTTTCTTTTTTGTGTGGCTGGTATGAATTGTGATATAAATAATGCTGATATTAACTTTTGTGTGTAAGTTTTTTCAAAAATATATGCTGTCAATTCCCTTGGGCATATTCCTACGTGTAAAATTTCTGCATGACATGGTAATTCTTTGTTTCACTTTTGAGGAACTGCCAAAATGGTTTTCAAAGTGGCTGCACCATTTTCAACCACACTGCAGTGTTTAAGGATGCCAATTTCCCCACAATCTTGATGAGGCCAATTATTAGCTGGGGGGCAGGCACTGGAACTTAGAGGCATTTTATCCCTGAGCTACATCCCTTTTTCTTTCCTTCTTTTTTTTTTCTAATTTTGAGACAAGTTTGCCTTAGTTTCCCGAGGCTAGCCTCGAACTTGGGATCCTCCTGCCTCAGCACCCTGGGTGCGAGACCTGTTATTGTCTTTTATTATAGCTAACCTGGTGAATGTGAAGTAATACCTTATTATGGTTTTACATTTCCATTTATTTGATGATTAAAGATGATAACTATCTTTTCATGGGCTTATTGTCCATTTGCCTGGCTTCTTCAGAGAAATAGCTAT